CGATTAGCAAGAAACAGATTTAAAGAATTAAGATTGTAGGACCGCGAAAATCCAGATTGAAAATCACGAATATAATTGAAAATAAATAATAATATAGTATAAAACGATTGAATAAAACGATTAAGAAAAGAGATGAAAAACACAGAGTCGAAATATGATCTCTTTCCTTAATTCTTTAAATCTCCCGCAGTGTGGCGGTTTGAAGAGATTCAGAATCCCAGGATACAACCGTGTTGAGACTAAAGTCGCAGCACTCGACTATAGAATCTGCAAACTGAAATTCTACGCTATACCTCGAGACTCACCTAAGACTGTAGAGACGAGAGGGATTTGCTGGATATTTGTGTTTTCGAAAGTTATAAGTTTTCGCTGATGAAGAATAATGAATGAGAGAGGCGAGTATATATAGCGGATAGAAGGATTGGGGCGCAAGGGTTTGCCTTGGCCGCCACTTATAGATAAACGAAAATATTCTGAAAATCTTCTATTCCTTGATCGCAAAGAATAATAGAAACAGAAATATTCCAGAAATCTTTTATTCCTTTCTGATAAGGATCTAGGCGAAACAAATATATTACAGAAATATTCTGTTATTAATTTTCGACCCAATCATAACGATTTATCGAGTTATGCAAATTATCTTTAAGGAATATTAACATATTTGTAAAAATAAGTTAATAAATATTCACTCCAAAAAAAACATCTTGTTGTGGGCTAAAGCCCACATTCACCAAGACCCGAGACCCAAGCCCAAGCCCGAGCTCGGCTCGGCACGGAACGGCGCAGGCGCGCACGTGTGTGTGGTTTTGCATAACAACCCTTTCTCTCCTTCTCCATAGTGTCCTCTTCTAAAAGGCTAGTGAACCTTGTTGAGAGTGTTTCACTACATATACTAGTAGAAAACTCTTCCAACTTTCGATGTGGGGCAAATGCTCATCTTGACATTTGTTGACTTTTGTCTTGATTACATGCCCACTTTGACCAAAGATTTCTCATTCAAATCAACTTCATTTTTGACAAGTGAATACATTATCTTATAGTACTCATTACAAGGAATCTAAAGAATCCATAATCCGGTAATTTCGGTAACTGTGCTCACCGGAAATGTCGCCGGAAAACTGGCCTGAGCCATTTGTCAAAAATGAGTTCCAACAGTTTCTTCATTGTGTACCAGGAAACTGGTTTGGGAGGAAAAGCCTGAGAACGACTATGAGGAGAGCGACCCACTTCACAAATTCCGTCATGTGGATAAATATCAAAGACGTAATCAGATTATTGTAAAATACTCAAGAACAATAACAAAAAAAATTGTGTGTGTGCATTGATTGTTACCTCAAGAACTGGGAAATAACAAGTAGGCGGCTAAGGCCCTCTTCGTTTTTGTATTTAGATGCTGTATCTGCATGCAAATACTCAAATATTATTCGATTGAACATTTTTAAACCAGTATCTAGATATAGTATCTGGATACAAAATAAAAAATATCTCAAAAATCTAGATATTTGAGATACTAGAAAAGTAGAATCTAGATGCAGCATTGCATTTCAAAAACCAAAAGACCAAAATATCCTTTAATATGATAGAAATAATGCAACTAAATTTATATTTATTATTTTTTTTGCCAAAATCGTAAAATAAAAAGAGTAAAATCATAATTTCCATTAAAATCGTAAACTCAATTTTTCTATAAAAACTGCAAAGTTGCATTTTCGAACCAAAAATGTAAAATAGAATTGTGTTTTTTCACCAAAACCGCAAAATAATGTTTTTTCGCTAAAACCGGAAAATAGTGTTTTCTGCTAAATCCGTAAAACTGAGTTTTTCCGCAAAAACCAAAAAATTGAATTTTTCCGACAAAACCGGATTTTCTTGTCAAAACTGGAAAATAAAGTTTTTCCGTCAAAACCAAAAAATCAGGTTTTCCCTCCGAAACAAAAAAAAATCAAGTTTTCCCGTCAAAATCCGAAAATCGAGTTTTCCCGTCAAACCCCAAAAATCAGGTCTTCCCGCCAAAACCGGAAATTGAGTTTTTACGCCAACAGCGTAAAACCAGATTTTTCCATCAAAACCGGAAAATCGAGTTTTCCCGTCAAAAGCGTAAAACCGGGTTTTCCCGCCAAAAATCGTAAAATCAGGTTTTTCCGCCAAAACCAGAAAATCAAGTTTTCCGTCAAAACCGGAAAATCGAGTTTTCCCGCCAAAAGCGTAAAACCGGGTTTTTCTGCCAAAACCGTAAAATCAGGTTCTTCCGCCAAAACCGGAAAATCAAGTTTTTCCGTCAAATTTGTAGAATAAAGTTTTTCTGCCAAAACCAAACGAGTTTTTCTGTCAAAACCGAAAAATCGAGTTTTTCCGCCAAAAATGTAAAATCAAGTTTTTCCCACCAAAATCGAAAAATTGAGTTTTTCAGCCAAAACAGAAAATCGATCTTTTCTGTCAAAACCCTAAAATCATGTTGTTCCGCCAATATTGGAAAATCGAGTTTTCCCATACAGAAAATCAAAAATTTCTGCCAAAATCATGTTTTTCTGCCGAACCATGTTTTTAGTCAAAACCGTGAAACCGAGTTTTTCCACTAAAACTGTAAACTGGATTTTTTCCGCCAAATCCGTAAATTTTTTTTTTGTTAACATTTAAAAATGAGTTTTTCCGTCAAAATAAATCATTTTAACTGTAGATAAAATTAATAAATTAAAAATATACTTTTTTGGTCATTTGAAATATTTTGCATTCTGATTTTTTTATAAATACACAAACGAACAATGTTGCATTCAAATGCTGTATCCGAATGCAAAATCTAACTTTAAATACGAACAATATATAAATGCTGCATCTGAAAATTGTATCTAGATCAAGAAATGAACAAGGCCTAAACAAGGAGCTAAAAATGAAGTCTGCATATTGGTTAGCTTCCATTTAGTTCGATCCAATATCATCAGAATACCCAAAAATAAAAGACTCTAAAGCTGACTTTGTTCTGTCATTGTCATGGACTCATGGATAGTTGAAAAGTCTGGAGAATAAAACTCCACAACTGCAATTTAATAATAATAAGGTCCTGTTCATTTTTGTATCCAGATGTTGTTCGTTTGAACATTTTTAAACCAGCATCTAGATATTGCATATGGATACAAAACTAAAAATATCTTAAAAATCTGAATATTTGAGATGCTGGAAAAAGTAGAGTTCTGAATGCTGTATTTGCATCTCAAAAACCAAAAGACCAAAATATCCATTAATATGATAGAAATAATGCAACAAAATTTATATTTATTATATTTTTGCCAAAATCGTAAAATAAAACCAAAAATCGTTTTTTCCACAAAATCAGTAAAATTGAGTTTTTCCGATAAAAGCATAAAATCGAATTTTCCTGCCAAAAACGCAAAATAAAGTTTTTTGACGCAAAAACCGTAAATTCAAGTTTTCCCACCAAAACCAGAAAATCGAGTTTTTCCGCCAAAATCGTAAAATCAAGTTTTTCCATCAAACCCGGAAAATCATTTTTTTCACCAAAACCGTAAAATCAAGTTTTTCCACCAAAACCGGAAAATCAAGTTTTCCCGCCAAAACCCAGAAATCGAGTTTTTCCACCAAAACCGTAAATCCAGCTTTCCCGCCAAAACCGTAAAATCAAGTTTTTTTCCGTCAAAACCGAAAAACCGAGTTTTCCTGCCAAAACTCTAAAATCAAGTTTTTCCGTCAAAACCATAAAATCAAGTTTTTCCGTCAAAACCGAAAAACCGAGTTTTTCCGCTAAAACCGTAAAATCAAGTTTTTCCGCAAAACAAGAAAGTCGAGTTTTTGTTCTCTCGCCAAAACAGAAAAATTCAGTTTTTCCGTCAAAATCGGACAATCAAGTTTCCCCGCCATAATAGCAAAATCATTTTTTCTGCCAAAACCAAAAAATATAAGTTTTTCCGCCAAAACTGTAAAACCGAATTTTCCCACCAAAATTGATAAATTAAAATTTTTTGCCAAAACAAAAAAATAGAATTTTTCTACTAAAATAGTAAAATCGAGTTTTCCGTCAAAACCACAAAATAGAGGTTTTTAGCCAAAATTATGGTTTGACGTCAAGACCGGAAAATCAAGTTTTTCTGTCAAAATCATGTTTTTCTGCCAAACCGTGTTTTCAATCAAAACTGCAAAACCGAGTTTTCTTCGCTAAAACTGAAAACTGGTATTTTCCGCCAAAACAGTAAAATTCCTTTTGTTTACATTGCAAAAATGAGTTTTTTCCGCCAAAATTGTATTTTTCACCAAAACTACGTTTTTTAAACTTTATTTAAAAAAAACTATTAATTTGTATTGTTATAAATAAATCATTTTAATTGTAAATAAAATTAATAAATTGAAATATATACTTTTTTAGTCATTTGAGATATTTTGCATTCAGATTTTTTTTATAAATACATAAACAAATTGTATTGCATCCAATTGCTATATCTAAATGCAAAACCTAGTTTTAAAAACGAACAATAACTAAATGCTACATTTGAAATTTGTATCTAGATGCTGAATAGATACAACATCTTGATCAAGAAACGAACAGTGCCTAAGAACTTCATGCGAATCGACCAGTTCAATTAAGAGAACCATTCTGTTAAGAGACTTGAGTTATTGCTAAGTGAAACATAGATGTGAGTTATACAAACACCCTCTATTCTATGAAAGAAGCTTTAGAGAGAACATGTGGCTTAACATTTTAATAAATGTGAAAATGATAAAATAACATTTTTGTAAAACTTAATTATAGTTCGATCGGATCGGATTCATAAAACCCTCACACTCCTAGTTCTCATACAAATTACATCAAATCCTAGAAGAATCCGAAACACTTAATTACTATAATAGAGAGAGATAAAGAAGATATGATGCAAACGTAAATATGCGCTGACACATTGATATAGCGTCCCCTTTCCTGAAAATATGAGATTGGTGGGTTTCCGATCTCGGCCATTTTCTGTGCCTTGTGAGCGGTTCAGACATCATCATCGTCATGTTTTATTATCATTATTCCAGTGGACATCCTCATTGTTTCTTTTCAGATAACGATCGCCCCACGTGACCCACGGGTGCCAGCCTTCTCCCGCGCACTCCAATGAACAAGCGTATAAAATAGTTGAATCTATTTCATCAATACCCTTGAGAAAGACAGGGTACATGCAATGTTTTTCACAAACCTCGCAATAAGGTCTAGTCATACCATCGTTGTAAACTAGTTCACCTCTCTTGTACCTGTTCCCAGGCTTCAAGTGATACATGTCTCCAAGAACACACTTAATATGGAGAGTGACCCCACATTCATCACAACCATAAAACCATACGCTTGGATCAGTCTTTCCCTCACAAATATCACACCACAATTGACCGGTCGAGTTTCCAGCGCCATGATGCAACGATAGAACATGATCGTCACATCTATGTTTCACTTTTCTTGGTAGAGTGGCACAATCCATGCTTAAAGCGAACTCACAAGCAATACAACTTAGGACATACTCTGATTCTTTACCACATGCTCCACAACTCTTACTCCCCGTCGAGGTGCGGTATAAAGGATGGGGATGCAGTTCATGGTGAAAAGGTTCTGAGATGGAAGCACACCGCACATCCAGTAAAACTTTCTTATAACTAGTGGAGCCACAGGAATTGTAACAGTTGTACTGGAAGCCATCGAAGAATTGAAGACAATATTTACACCGGAAACGACCACCCAAATAACCAATTTCTAGAGTAAGCTTGTGCTCGTGCATGATATTTCGCTTCTTCCGAGGAAGACTAGCACATGCTTTATGAAGGAAGAACTCACATTGCACACACTTGAAGAATGGATCAGAACTGATGGGACGGATGCAAGCGTTGCACCGCGTCTTTTCATGGTCGACAACAACATCATCACAACCAAGTCTTAGATGATGTCCGTGACTGAAATGAATGATTTCGTTTTCATTTATTACCACGTATGGATCTTCAATTTCTTCCTCTTCAGGCTCATCTTCGAGTTCTATCCCGTCCCATACATCGTTCCTTGTTGCACACCTCGAATGAACCGCATAATTAGAACATCGTTGGCAAGAGAAAGCTCCAAATGTCCAATCCATCTTCTTGCGACAAACTCCGCATTCCCAATCGCCACGATCGAGTTGATAAGTGCGAGAAATGCGGTGGTCATGACGGTTGATTTCTATGACTCGGGGAAGATAGATGCAATGTTTGTGCAGCATGAAACCACATTCAAGGCAAACGTAAGGATTACGGCCACCATCCATCCCACATGCACTGCAAGTGAAGGAGACCTTTATCGGCATGATGGTGAATGCATGGTTGTGACTCTTTGGTTCATAGATGGTAACCGGTGGCGGCTTTCTTGAACAATTTAAATCTATGCTGATATTACATATGGAACAATGATACATGACCTCACCAAGTTTGTCTCTACAAAAATGGCATGTGCCATCTGTGTAGTCAATTGTCTCGAGGGAGACGACTTTCTTGAGAGGGTGTCTGGAGTGGCACGGATAGTTGATGGTCTCTGGAAAGTCGATGCATTGCACATGCGCCCCAATCTCACAAACGTCACAATAATAGCCATAGCCATCTACTTCACCGCATCCGTCGCAATTATGTGATGGATCGGCTTCCGTATACGTATTATCTTCGGCCTCCTTCAGTTCTACGTAATCTAACGGATGATTGCAGGAAAACTTTACTTTATGATCTCCTCGACCCATACTTGGTCTTGGATCGGCTTGAATTTCGTTGGGAAAAAGTGTAAAGACGACCGACGAATATCAAAAGATTAATTTTGTTTGTTTGTTAACTCATATGTTGTTGAGTTATACATGGATCATGCAACCAGTTGGTCTTATAATATATGTGTATGACCCAATTGGTATTACTAATTGTCATTGACCTTATCGACACAGCCAGCTCATCATGACAGATTACAACGTAAATAATTAGTTGTTTTTCAATGTATTTATTTGTGAAATTTATCGTCCAACCAACCCTTTGCTTTTTTTGTTTGTTTTCAATTGGTAAAAGACTTTTCAATTTCGCTTACGTAATCATCTTGTTTGATTCGTTTCTGCTAAAATTGAAGTATTGGTTTTCATATGTATTAATTTTGTCTAATACTCGGTAAAGTGTTTTTTTGTTTTTTTTTTCTTTTACTTTTGATATATCTTATATTATTGGAGATACTAGGTATTTACCCGCGCTATGCTGCGGGATATTTTTCTAAATTTTGTATATATTTTTAATATAACAAAACTATTTTTATCATATAAATGAGTATTATATTTTTTATTAGCTTAAGTTATGTATTTATATTTTTTTAATTTGAATAAACATTGTATATCTTTAATTTTTTATTTTTTGAAATTATAATTTGCTATTAAATATGTTCAGCTAACTAATTATATATAAATATATATATGTAAAAATAAAGCAATATAATTTTTAGTACCTTCATGCTAATGGCAAATATAATCTATTTTCTCCAATAAATTATCACTTGATCCTTCTTTTTAATTATATAAAGCAAAATACCATTTTAAAAAAAGATTTATTAATTAAGATGATTATCTTGAATTATAAAATTTATTTATTTATGAAATATTTATTATAAACATATGTTTCTAAAACTACCAAACTATAATCAATAACATTCATATCAAAACCATTACTACTACTTTAGATCTAAATAGATATTTTATTTGAACTGTTGAAATATTTAGTTGAAGTTAAATAATTAAATTTTGGTTACTGTAAACATATTTTAACTTGGAAATTTAGCACAGAGAAATTTCATCTTTTTACAAAAATTGGGAAAACGCATTTTCCATGAAAACTAAAAAACTTAATTTTCCCATGAAACTGAGAAAGTGCATATTCCCACCAAAACCAAAAAAAATATTTTCTCGTCAAACCTAAAACCTAAAATTTCATTTTCCCGCGACAACCTCTGTTTTCTCATCAAAAACCAAAAAAATCATGTTTTTTTTCACTAAAACCAAAAAATATAATCTTCCTACAAAAACAAAAAAATCATATTTTCCCGTCAAAACCGAAAAATATATTTTCCTGCAAAGACCGAGAAGTCTTCTATTCCCGTCAAAAACAATAATTCATTTTCTCGTCAAACCAAAAATCACGCTTTCCTACCAAAACAATAAACTACAATTTCCCGTGAAAATAAAAAATTGCATTATCTCTTGAGAAATTGTGTTTTCCCGTGAAACATAAGAAATTACATTTTTCCGCAAAAACAACAAAAATCACATTATTCATCAAAAACTGAAAAATTGCATTTCCCATCTAAACCAAAAAATTGCTTATTCCCGCCAAAATCGAGAAATTTTCTTTTCCCATCAAACTGAGAAATTGCATTTCCCGCCAAAATCATCAAATTTTAATTTTTCGCGAAAACTAATAAATCACATTTTCGTGCAAAAACCAAGAAATCGCATTATCTGTCAAAATCCAAAATTTGCATTACCTATTAAAAATGAGAAATCGCATTTTTGTCAAAATTGAAAAATTACATTTCGCATCAAAACCGATCATTTTCCCGTCAAAACTAAGATATCTTGTTTTCCCGTCAAAATCAATTTTTTTTTTGTTTTCTCACCAATATCAAAAATTCACATTTTCTCGCCAAATCCGAGAATTCGCTTTTTCTGCCATAACCGAGAAATTATGTTTTGCTACCAAAACTGAAAATCATATTTTTTTACTGAAACCAAGAAATCATCTATTTTGTATAAAACAGCGAAATTCCCTATTCCCGCCATAGCCAAGAATAATTGTTTTCTCGCGTGTTTTCTTAACAAAACTGAAAAATTGTATTTTTCTGCCAAAATCGTTAAATTGTATTTTTTCCGCAAAAACTGTAAAATTGTATTTTCATACGAAAACCAAGAAATCGTATTATCAATCAATAACAGAAAATTGTGGTGCTAATCAAAAACAAAGATTTAATTTTTTTTTATTTGTTGTTATTTATTATTTGAGTTTGAGTTTGGTAAAAAATAAAATAAATATTTTTTTGTTTATTGTTATTAATTATTTGGGCTTGGGTTTGGTAAAAAATAAAACAAAGATTAATAGAAAAAGTATTTGAGTTTTTAATGGATTTAAATTTAAAAATTAAAATAAGTAAATAAGTTGTATTAATAAAATATTTTGATTAATGAAATTTTTTGTTGAAGTATCATATTCAGAAAGCTCCAAAATGCTAATGTGTCATCTTTAGAAGAGTCATTGGTGTTATTGATACGGTCATACTTTAAAAAAAAATCGAAGCAGGTTCTCCTTGTTTGTTTTTGTTTTAATCATAAGTTGACAATATTGGAGCCTCGCTGGCCGCTGGGTAAGTAACGTGTATGTAAGCAATTACTAGGCCACTTCTGGATTATACAAACTTATTTTAATAAGTTGACTTCTTGGAGCCTAAGGCTTTGTATATGAATTGCTTTAGCGGTGATTATTTAAAAAAGCATTTTATCTTATGATGATACTAAAAGTGTATATGTGGATTTGTAAATTATTTTAAATTTCTTTTTAAAAAAGTAGTTTTATTATTTTTTACTTTTTAAATTAAAATATTTATTATATATGGTAAAATTTGATTAATTTACTTATATAGATTACAATCATTTTAATTTACTATGATTTCTGTATACACTGGTTTATAATTAACTGTTATATAATCTATAAAAAAAATTTAAACCTAAAATATTATAAAACAAAATTAGATCATTATAAACCTAAAGAAGTAGGATTGAGATTTTTTTACAAAACCACTTATAAATTATAATATAACTGGTTAAAGAAACTAATCTTTTATTTTATTTTGTGTTTACTTTTTTATTTTTCACAAATATAACTGAACTTGAAAACGTATAAAACAAAATTAAATCACTATAAACATAAAATAATTAAGACTGAGAATATTTTTCATAACTAATTATAATAGAACTGATAAAAAATTAGTTATTTCTTTTATTCTGCATTTACTTCAATATGACTAAATATTGAAAATTATAAAAAAAAATTAGAACACTATGCGATTAAAAAACCTTATTTTTTTCTATTTTCTGTGATTACCTTTATAATTTACATAAATATAATTTTTCTTTAATAAACTCTTATTGAGAATATCATTTGGTAAAATAGTATCAGAGTAAATTTGATTTTCTTTATTCTGCTTTTGCAATTCTGATTGTTTTCTATCGCTTTATCAGTTTTTCATCTTTTTCATCTTATTTGATTGGTTCGAGTTCAAAAAAGAAATTAATATAATAAAATTACAAAAAATTGATGTTTTTATATAAATATGTGAATAATATTTACCTCTTTTTAGGTTTAGTATTTTTTTTTCTTAACTGAAATATATTTCTTTTTAATTTATTCCTTTTTTCTTGATATTGTGGTAGTTATTTTATTTTATATTTAAATAATTATTTTTTAAACTTAAGTTTTATATTTAATTTAACTATGATACATGTCAAAATTTTATCGGTTAAATTGTCACATGTCATAATTATACGAATTACTAACTTTGATATATCTAATTTTATATAATAAAATTACAATATGAAAATATTAACAAAAAATCAATCAAAATGAAGACGAAATTTTTAATAATATTAGCGATAATGATTGTTAGTCATCACTTAAATTAGAGAAGTCCCTTTACGATAAATATATTTTTAAGTCTATATAAACTATTGTAAATGCATAATAAATATTATAGTAATTCAAGAATTTTGAGATATGGTGGAGGATAGATTTGTAAATGTTAATCCTGCGGAACCGTACATAAAAGTAATATAATTTTATGGACCCTCACATGCAAGATTTCATATGTAAAAACTCAAGTTCAATCTATGAAAGAACTAGGGTTTCTGAGTTTAAAGAGAAATCTTTTATTAGAAGAAGCCAGAGTTTGAATGAATACACGGGGGTTTAGGTCGTCGGAATAAGAACGCCGACCTAAACTTTTATGGAAAGTAAATCGAAAGCTAGAACAATCAGATTGCTTAGTTTGCCCTAGGTCCCGATAGATGATTTTTTGAATAGATTGAGGAGTCGAGGACTTCCTATATTTATAGCCAATCAGGTCGGTCTTCAACCTGCTTGGAATAGGAAACTCTTGTCGGCAAGAAGTTTCCTTTTTCCCCGGGTCGCTCGATAAATGGAAGATTTCCTTTTATGTTGCCGACCTGGAACTTGTTAGACGGGCCGACCAGAATTCGTATCGGACTTGTTAGAGACTGTATGGATCTCATCTCTAACAGTAAGTCCCCCCCCCCCCCCTCCCAGTTTGGCAAGTGAGGGTACATTACTTGGCGAACTTCATAATGTATTGCTTGGTATGCATTCTGGTCGGCTATAAAAAGAGTTAGAACAAAAATAAAATTATTACCTGGACTTCTGATTGGCGCGGTGATGAGGGCCAGCTTGTGATTTTGGGCGCGAAAAGTTCCCGCCTAAAAGATGACGTAGGCTAGGCCTAGGTTTGCGCATGCAGAACTAGGGTTGACACGTGTCAAACTCTAGCAGGTGAAGGTGAAGAGGCCGACTAAAATTTAACAAGAAGAAATATGGAGAGTCGCCGTGCTCATGATGATTCTCGGTAACCGTCCAGATATTTCTATAAATAAGGGGGACTCGGCTTCAATTTCCTCACTTCTGCATTTCTAGCGAAACTCTGTCAAAATCAGGT